GTGCACTGAGTTCTAGAGCAGTGTTCTTCACTAAGTTCTAGAGCAGTGTTCTTCACTCAGTTCTAGAGCAGTGTTTTTCACTCAGTTCTAGAGCAGTGTTCTTAACTAAGTTCTACAGTAGTGTTCTTCACTAAGTTCTAAGGCAGTGTTCTTCACTAAGTTCTAGAGCAGTGTTCTTCACTAAGTTCTAGAGCAGTGTTCTTCACTAAGTTGTAGTGCAGTGTTCTTCACTCAGTTCTAGGGCAGTGTTCTTCACTAAGTTCTAGAGCAGTGTTCTTCACTAAGTTCTATAGCAGTGTTCTTCACTAAGTTCTAGAGCAGTGTTCTTCACTAAGTTCTAGAGCAGTGTTCTTCAATAAGTTCTAGAGCAGTGTTCTTCACTAAGTTCTAGAGCCGTGATCTTCACTAAGTTCTACAGCAGTGTTCTTCACTAAGTTCTAGAGCCGTGATCTTCACTACGTTCTAGAGCAGTGTTCTTCACTAAGTTCCAGAGCCGTGATCTTCACTAAGTTCTACAGCAGTGTTCTTCACTAAGTTCTAGAGCAGTAGTCTTCAGTAAGTTCTAGAGCAGTGTTCTTCACTAAATTCTAGAGCCGTGATCTTCACTAAGTTCTACAGCAGTGTTCTTCACTAAGTTCTATAGCAGTGCACTAAGTTCTAGAGCAGTGTTCTTCTCTGAGTTCTAGAGCAGTGATCTTCACAAAGTTCTAGAGCAGTGTTCTTCACTACGTTCTAGAGCAGTGTTCTTCACCAAGTTCTATAGCAGTGCACTAAGTTCTAGAGCAGTGTTCTTCACTGAGTTCTAGAGTAGTGATCTTCACTAAGTTCTAGAGCAGTTTTCTTCACTAAGTTCTAGAGCAGTGTTCTTCACTAAGTTCTACAGCAGTGTTCTTCACTAAGTTCTAGAGCAGTGTTCTTCACTAAGTTCTACAGCAGCGTTCTTCACTAAGTTCTAAAGCAGTGTTCTTCACTCAGTTCTAGAGCAGTGTCTTTCACTCAGTTCTAGAGCAGTGTTCTTAACTAAGTTCTACAGTAGTGTTCTTCACTAAGTTCTAAGGCAGTGTTCTTCACTAAGTTCTAGAGCAGTGTTCTTCACTAAGTTCTAGAGCAGTGTTCTTCACTAAGTTGTAGAGCAGTGTTCTTCACTCAGTTCTAGGGCAGTGTTCTTCACTAAGTTCCAGAGCAGTGTTCTTCACTAAGTTCTATAGCAGTGTTCTTCACTAAGTTCTAGAGCAGTGTTCTTCACTAAGTTCTAGAGCAGTGTTCTTCAATAAGTTCTAGAGCAGTGTTCTTCACTAAGTTCTAGAGCAGTGTTCTTCACTAAGTTCTAGAGCAGTGTTCTTCAATAAGTTCTAGAGCAGTGTTCTTCACAAAGTTCTAGAGCCGTGATCTTCACTAAGTTCTACAGCAGTGTTCTTCACTAAGTTCTAGAGCCGTGATCTTCACTAAGTTCTACAGCAGTGTTCTTCACTAAGTTCTAGAGCAGTGGTCTTCACTAAGTTCTAGAGCAGTGTTCTTCACTAAATTCTAGAACCGTGATCTTCACTAAGTTCTACAGCAGTGTTCTTCACTAAGTTCTATAGCAGTGCACTAAGTTCTAGAGCAGTGTTCTTCCATGAGTTCTAGAGCAGTGATCTTCACTAAGTTCTAGAGCAGTGTTCTTCACTACGTTCTAGAGCAGTGTTCTTCACTAAGTTCTATGGCAGTGTTCTTCACTAAGTTCTAGAGCAGTGTTCTTCACTAAGTTCTACAGCAGTGTTCTTCACTCAGTTCTAGAGCAGTGTTCTTCACTAAGTTCTACAGCAGTGTTCTTCACTATGTTCTAGAGCAGTGTTCTTCACTAAGTTATACAGCAGTGTTCTTCACTCAGTTCTAGAGCAGTGTTCTTCACTAAGTTCTAGAGCAGTGTTCTTCGCTAAGTTCTAGAGCAGTGTTCTTCAATAAGTTTTAGAGCAGTGTTCTTCACAAAGTTCTAGAGCCGTGATCTTCACTAAGTTCTACAGCAGTGTTCTTCACTAAGTTCTAGAGCCGTGATCTTCACTAAGTTCTACAGCAGTGTTCTTCACTAAGTTCTAGAGCAGTGGTCTTCACTAAGTTCTAGAGCAGTGTTCTTCACTAAATTCTAGAGCCGTGATCTTCACTAAGTTCTACAGCAGTGTTCTTCACTAAGTTCTATAGCAGTGCACTAAGTTCTAGAGCAGTGTTCTTCCCTGAGTTCTAGAGCAGTGATCTTCACTAAGTTCTAGAGCAGTGTTCTTCACTACGTTCTAGAGCAGTGTTCTTCACTAAGTTCTATGGCAGTGTTCTTCACTAAGTTCTAGAGCAGTGTTCTTCACTAAGTTCTACAGCAGTGTTCTTCACTATGTTCTAGAGCAGTGTTCTTCACTCAGTTCTAGAGCAGTGTTCTTCACTCAGTTCTAGAGCAGTGTTCTTCACTGAGTTCTATAGCAGTGCACTGAGTTCTAGAGCAGTGTTCTTCACTAAGTTCTAGAGCAGTGTTCTTCACTCAGTTCTAGAGCAGTGTTATTCACTAAGTTCGAGAGCAGTGTTTTTCACTCAGTTCTAGAGCAGTGCTCTTCACTAAGTTCTACAGCAGTGTTCTTCACTAAGTTCTAGAGCAATGTTCTTCACTAAGTTCTAGAGCAGTGTTCTTCACTAAGTTCTACAGCAGTGTTCTTCACTTAGTTCTAGAGCAGTGTTCTTCTCTAAGTTCTACAGCAGTGTTCTTAACTAAGTTCTAAAGCAGTGTTCTTCACTCAGTTCTAGAGCAGTGTTTTTCACTCAGTTCTAGAGCAGTGTTCTTAACTAAGTTCTACTGTAGTGTTCTTCACTAAGTTCTAAGGCAGTGTTCTTCACTAAGTTCTAGAGCAGTTTTCTTCACTAATTTCTAGAGCAGTGTTCTTCACTAAGTTGTAAAGCAGTGGTCTTCACTCAGTTCTAGGGCAGTGTTCTTCACTAAGTTCTAGAGCAGTGTTCTTCACTAAGTTCTACAGCAGTGTTCTTCACTAAGTTCTAGAGCCGTGATCTTCACTAAGTTCTACAGCAGTGTTCTTCACTAAGTTCTAGAGCCATGATCTTCACTAAGTTCTACAGCAGTGTTCTTCACTAAGTTCTAGAGCAGTGGTCTTCACTAAGTTCTAGAGCAGTGTTCTTCACTAAATTCTAGAGCTGTGATCTTCACTAAGTTCTACAGCAGTGTTCTTCACTAAGTTCTATAGCAGTGCACTAAGTTCTAGAGCAGTGTTCTTCACTAAGTTCTAGAGCAGTGTTTTTCACTAAGTTCTAGAGCAGTGTTCTTCACTAAGTTCTACAGCAGTGTTCTTCACTAATTTCTAAAGCAGTGTTCTTCACTAAGTTCTAGAGCAGTGTTCTTCACTAAGTTCTAGGGCAGTGCTCTTCACTAATTTCTAGAACAGTGTTCTTCACTAAGTTCTATAACAGTCTTCTTCACTAAGTTCTAGAGCAGTGTTCGTCACTAAGTTCTAGAGCAGTGTTCTTCACTAAGTTCTAGAGCAGTGTTCTTCACTAAGTTCTAGAGCAGTGTTCTTCACTAAGTTCTAGAGCATTGTTCTTCACTAAGTTCTAGTGCAGTGTTCTTCACTAAGTTCTACAGCAGTGTTCTTCACTAAGTTCGAGAGCAGTTTTCTTCACAAGTTCTAGAGCAGTGTTTTTCACTCAGTTCTAGAGCAGTGTTCTTCACTAAGTTCTACAGCAGTGTTTTTCACTAAGTTCTAGAGCAGTGTTCTTCACTAAGTTCTAGAGCAGTGTTCTTCACTAAGTTCTAGAGCAGTGTTCTTCACTAAGTTCTAGAGCAGTGTTCTTCACTAAGTTCTACAGCAGTGTTCTTCACTAAGTTCTAGAGCAGTGTTCTTCACTAAGTTCTAGAGCAGTGTTCTTCACTAAGTTCTACAGCAGTCCTCTTCATTAAGTTCTAGAGCAGTGTTCTTCACTAAGTTCTAGAGCAGTGTTCTTCACTAAGTTCTACAGCAGTGTTCTTCACACAATTTTAAGTGGAGGGGGGGGGGCTACTACTGTCGCCGCTAAGAGATCAGCAGCGTGAGGGCCGCCACACATTTGAAACCATTGTTGTGGTTTGACAGCATCAGGGTGAAGGTGATGGGCGATGGTGTCGCTCGTCGTAGACTGTCGGCGGCTCCGCACGTCAGGGGCCGCACTAAAGGCCGCCAGGGGCCGCCAGTGGACCGCGGGCCTTGCGATGAAGAACGCCGCCTTGCAGGGTGCGCGACTCCTCCGGAATCCACTCCCTCTCTTCCACTCACTGCACAATTCTCTCACTCGCTTTCCTCTCGCGCTCTCGCTCTCTCTCAGGTATCCTCCCGTGCGTCTCAATGTCCTTTGCAAGTTCAGTTGGGTGTGGGTTACTAATGTTTATTCCATCCTCGCGTACGATGGCAAGATGTATGTAAAGAACGTGTACAGGAGCTGAATTCCAATTCCGAGCTCTGGTAGTTTAGACGTGAAACATTTTGCTTCGAAAATCAAATCACTCATTCACAATGTTTCTTATTTATTTATGAATGCATGAAATCAGTTTTCTACCAATATTTTCAAGAATGTACTCTAACTGAACTATATATATATTTTTTTACCAGGTAAGGATCACTGCGCTATCTAGCTCTATTTCAGAAGCGACCTGGCTATCACAGATGATAGGTCAACGAAGTGACTAATCATGTGGACATTCAAAACAGCCAAACAAACTAAACGCGTGATGTCGATTCTAAACGTGGAGGGAAAACCCGGAGAGATGATGATGATGAGAGAGAGAGAGACGCAAACTCCAAATATACAGCAGGCGTCGTCAGGCTCGGGATCGAACCCACGACCTCCTTCATACCAGGCGATGGAGTTAACATCTCGCCGTACTTGGGAGGGCTTCGCCTTCAGTAGACGGGGGGTGGGGTGGGGGTTCACCCCCCCCCACCCTCTGATGAAACGATCTACCCCCCCTCCCACCACCCCCCTCCGCCGTGGATTACCTCCTCGCCCTCCTCGATGTGGTAATCCTCGCGCTGGTTAAGCCCCCCGACGAACATCACCTTGAGCTGGGCCGCGTGCCTGAGTCAACCAGACAGGGCAGGTGGGGGGGGGGGGCAGAGACGTAATTTACATAATAATAATTATTATATAACGACCGATCCACACATACGAAGGAGACATCGCAGCGATACAGAATCAGAATGTTGCATTTACACTGGAGGGATCCGATGAGTTATGAAGCTCTGTTTTTCACAGATGTAGTGTTCGACTTTACGCGGACAACTTCTGTCTTTCTTCATACACCGCTTTATTTGCAACATTCAACATGTCCTCCACACTCCACAGTATCCTGGTCACCACGGCTCGCTCGCCGTGCTCCGCTCATCTTGCTCACCACCTTTGTCTCCCCACTATCAGTTCACTTGCTTCGCACTCAGCGACTCCCCGTTCAGCAACTCCGTACACAGCGTCTTCGCACACAGCGACTTCGCACACTCCGCACACAGCATCTTCAACTCCGCTATCGCTACGCTTTCTCCACTGCTAACTACTTCGTCGTCTTGCTTCACACTCTGTTCCAACTCCATTTCCCACTCTGTCTCCAAACTCTGTTTCCAAACTCTGTTTCCAAACTCTGTTTCCAAACTCCACGTCTTCCTTGTCCAGCTCCCAACTCCAACTTCCCACTCCAGCTCCCCTAAGCTCTTCAACTTCAACCCATCTCCAAGCTCTTCACCATTCAACCACCTCCTTCTGTTGACTCCGACTCCCGCTCTTATACCCGCTCTCATTACACCCCCAATTAATTAACCCGCGTCTCAACCGGCGCTCCGCGTGACCATCGCACCTGTTTCTCGCCAGACTTCTCGACGCCTCTCCAACCCCGGCAACAGTACCAACCAATCACAACCGTTGCTGATCCTCTGGCTTAATTCGCCCAACCGTTACCTCCTCATCCCAGCCTTTGCACCTGGCTGTCCTAACACGGCCCACACTTTTTCTTCTTTGGTTCTTTCGGTAAAGTCACGTGACTCCAGCGCTGTCCTCCAGACAGTCTCGTCCCTTCACCTGATGAAGGCCGCTTGTGTTGTGGCCGAAACGTCGTGAGAATATTATTGTGTTATTTTATTTATCAATTTATTATTTTATTCTCATTCTACGTGACTTTACCAAAAGAACCAAAGAAGATGAATCCTTGCAGTCACGAAAGCTTTAAATCGAAACGACCCACACTGTTTTCGCCTTCTCCACAGGCTGACCCTAGATAACCCACACTGTCCGTGTGATCATGCAATCGTGCAGTTTCCACAACACACCTTCGTACTCCACTACACAGATGTCCAGTCGGGGTGGGCAAGAACGTGACAACACCAAACAGCACAAACACATAGTAGGAGTGCAAAGTACGAGAAAGGAAAACAAATCACCCCGAAAAACATAGAAGAAAAAAACTCAACAATCCCGATCCTACCAGGCAAAGCCAACTGAGGTTTCAACTTATTTTTCAGTAGCGACATGGCCACCATTGATAGCTCAATCAAGTGGCTTATCATTTTGGACATTTCTAGCAGCAAAATTATCTGAAATACTCGAGATGCATGCTTCTGAATGTGGAGGACCCGGAGAAAGAAATAAACATCCAGGCGTTAGGGTCGGGATCGAATCCCCGACCTCCTTGCATACCAGGCGAGGAAGATACCAACACACCGCTGCTCCTGCCGTAGGTAACTGGCTGGACCACCTGAATGTGAAAGTGTGGCTGTTTCTCTACAGCTCCATAAGCCATACGAAATAAAGAAGAATATTAACCAGCCATACCCCCCCCCCCCACACACACATTCTTAACGAACGCTAACCATGACCCCTAACGCGAGCAATGTTCTTTCAGAATGGAACAAACATTGCCACGTGGCAGGACCCCTCCTGGAAAACGAGTCAAGAGACTCAATGAGCATTACAAGAAACCTCGTTTTTTTCCACGAAGGTCAAAGTATATCGCCCATTTACGAATGGTGATGTTATTTTTTTTCTTGGAAGGCTCATCAAATTCACGACAGATTAAATCGCGACGTTCAGGTATGGAGGAAATGTCCAAATCCTCCACAACCCCCCAACCAGTGCACCTCTCGCTATGCCAGCCAATCACATGCCATCAACTCGAGACGAGCGGTTACCGAGAACATATGTCAGCATGCGGCACACCCACATCCAGTATACATCTCGCGATGGCCGTGGTTCCCATTACGGTGCCTTAATCACTGAGAAAATCAATGAAGCCCACCCCGTGTGAGTGAATGTAGCTGTAAGCCCACCAATCATCCCGCGTCGGCGTCACTCACATTAGTTTATTGCACACGGGAGGAGTGAAGAAACGCGAATTCTCCTCGATCCACCTTCTCACGGCCACCACCTGAAGCTCCATAATCCAAGATGACCACCGAATTCACCGGAAACGCCACCCCCACCAACTTCACCAGCAACTCCACCACCAACTTCACCAGAAACTCCACCACAAACAAATTCACCAGCAACTCCACCACCAACTTCACCAGAAACTCCACCACAAACAACTTCACCAGCAACTCCACCACCAACTTCACCAGAAACTCCACCACAAACAACTTCACCAGTAACTCCACCACCACCAACTTCACCAGAAACTCCACCACCACCACCACCAACTTCACCAAAAACTCCACCACCAGCAACTCCACCAGAAACCCCACCACCACCACCACCGCTACCACCAAGTTCACCACCACCAACTCTAACAACAGCAGCGTCGTCCCGTCCGGCGAGGGCCCCGTGAGTCCCGTCGGCTAACAGCGCGCCGCTGTGAGTGGCGGGTGTGTTGACTCCGCCGCGGAATGCAATCGGGGAGAGAGTTTGACGTGGGAGGCGGAGAGAGGCGTGGATTCGTGCATTCGACTCAAACCTCAGCGAGACGATAATTCGTGTACTCGTGGTCGCATAAACGGCTGATCTGCGTTGGGGGGTGGGGGGGGGGCGACGCTCACAACAACGAGCGGAGCGGCGGGCGGATAAAGCGCCGCGAGTTGGCAGAGTGGGGAGCACAGGTGGCGCATCTGCCAGTCGTCGCAATCAGTCAACCCCGTTTCAGCTGGGTCTGTCACTTTGTCCAGTGACCTCCTGCCAGCAGAAAGCCTCAGACACTTCACGTGTGCTCAAGGTGCACCTAGCCTGGCACAAGCACTGTGGTTTAACATCAGCGCCACTCAGTAGCGACTGGCGGCCGTTGTTATTGGTGCCCTGGCTGATTCGAGGGGCGGGGGAAGGGAGTTGCAATTATGTAATTGATATTTTATTAATATTTATTGGCGATGTCGCTGTGGTGGTGATGTTAGTGGCGTGAGTGATGGTTGCGATGGCGATGCTAGCGATGTCGCGGTGATGGCGATACGAGCGGTGGCGGTGCTGCCCGTGCTGCTGGTGATGTCGCGATGATGGCAATGCCAAGCGGTGTAGGTGATGGTCGTCTTGGGGGTGTCGGTCATCAGCTGATTAGGGTGGGGGTGGGGCGGGTTGCGGGGAGGGGCGTCTCCCCACCGCGCCCCTCCCCCCTCGTCCCTCCCCCCCCCACCATTGGCTCTTGGATTCTGCGAGCTCAGCGCATTCCACACTCCGACTATTGTTGACCCACAAGCTAACGACACAACATCGGCGAATCGATTTGTTCGGATGCGTCGTCATCGTCGTCGTCACATTGTTTTTGGTGCAATTCCCTCTCGCGATGTACATGACGCGCACACTCTCCACCATCAATGAATGATTATAATCACGAATAAAATATCTCTTATCATGATTATTGGCTATTTTACAGCCACGGCTGAACGAATGCCCATTACCATCATCAGGCATAATCAATCCACCGCTGGATGAAAGCCTCCGCCAATCCATTGCCGTCATCTCTCAAGGTCATGCGATGTGATCTCACGATCCCCCTCCTCCCCCAGCGCGAGCTGATTCCATCGCTCCATCTCCGCGATGTATGTCCTCTCGGGCGTGTTGCCTTGCTTATGGGTGGCGCTGTGCCGAGATGTTATCTCCAGCGCCTGGTATGCAGGAGATCGTGGGTTCGATCCAGATCCCGATCCCGACCCTGACGTCTGCTGAATATTTAGAGTTTGCATGTCTCTCTCTCTCTCCCCGTGGCCACGTGGATTTTTTTCTCCGTGTCCCTACGGGTTTCCAGCTCACCTCCACACGTCGAATCACCAACACACGTGTGGAGAACTTTGCTGTTGTACATTTCCACGCACTAAGCCCCTTTTTGGCTGCCGCTCCATCGTTGGTCTCGACCTCGGGGGCGAGAGAGCACATGCCAACTCCAAATGTGTACAGCGGGCGTCAGGGTCGGGATTGAACTCACGACCTCCTGCATACCAGGCGATGGAGTTAACATCTCGCCACCGCGGCACACTGCTCAGCTCTCGTTTCTCCTTCTTCTATGCCTGCGTCTCTTTTTGGACCACGCGCAGCAGCGGGTGTAGTGTTCTACACCGATGGCTCAGCAGCCTGGACGTGCATTCCAGAGGTCGCCGGTGCCATGCGACCTCCCGGAGCGGCACTTAAAACGACGGTGCCCGTTTCCTGAATTCAGCCTCAGCCCCACCGCACCGCGCCAAGGCCCTCCTCTAACCACCCAGCAGTGGACCCAGCGTGGTCCAGATGTCTTGTGACCCGCATTTAATTATCTAAAATTTGATATTTTTGTAAGTAATACGTTTTTGGTGGGATCATAAGACATCTGGACCATCGCCGTATATCGCTGCACTTCAGTCGATGGCCAGCAGGTCGCTTGCGGTGGGGTAAGACGTGGGTCTTCCAAAACGTCTAGGCGATCGTGGAATAGTGGCCTCAGTGCACCGTCTCTTTCGATAACCAGAGAGACAGACAAAGAGGAAGACAGACGGAAAGTGCTCCCTCTAGTGGACGCCCTTCCGCCAGCAGTGGCGTGAGCCGTCACTTGCAGGGGCTGCGCCTGTCAAAACGGGACGCCGAGAACCACCAACGTGTCTCGGGTGGAGCTGACCAGCAGGGGCCGCTCGCGCACCGCACTGGGGGTGAGGGGGGCATCGTGGCCGGGGAAGATGAAATTCACAACTCTCGTCCCACACACCCGAGACCGAGTCCCCGGGGATTCGGGGAGGTGTGGGGTGGTAGGTGGGGGGGGTAATTCCACACCTTCCTATCAACCCTTCAAGGGACGTGTCCAGCCAAATTCCCAATGCTACGGTGGCTAGGAGATGTTATCTGCCTCGCCTGGTATGCAGGAGGTCCTCGGTGCGATCCCGACCCTGACGCCTGTTGTATACCTGGAGTTTCCGTGTCTCTCTCCCAGTGGTGGCGTGGATTTTTCTCCGGGTGCTCTCATGTCCCCCCTCCACATTTAGAATCAACGTGCGCTCAGCGTATTTGGCTGCTGTAAATGTCCACGTGATAAGGCAGTGTTGGCTGCTGCTCCGTCGTTAGTGGCCTGGTCGCATATGAAAGAGAGATGGATAGCTCGGTGGGCCTTACCTGGTCAAGTAAAAATGTGTTTATTTTGTTCGTTTTACCTCTTACACTTTTTGCACACCTTTTATCCAGAGTCAAACTCATGTCCTGGACTTGCGTTCGTTCTCTGAAACTCTGGGTCCTCTCTCTCTCTCAGTATGTGTCTCTCGGTGCATTTGCAAGCGTACACCTCTGTCTCACACACACAGACTGTTGGGGCAAGTGCTGTTTGCTAACACCTATTAATGCCATTACGAGGGTGGCTAGCACCACGCCTGGAATCGCCAGGCTCGAAGCGCAGCGTGCTGACCATTGTGCTACCGTTCTCTCTCTCTCAAAAATGATCTCTCTTCCGTGCCATTCTCGTTTAACCACTTTTAAGAGGTCACTACACTCACAAATCAGCTCAATGCTCCAGTGGCGCAACCGGTTAGCGCGCGGTACTTATAAGGCAGTACTTGCCCTGGCTATGCCGAGGTTGTGAGTTCGAGCCTCACCTGGAGCAGACGGGCTTTTTATTTAATTAACACCTAAGGGGCATCCGTAATTGTGGAGGTGTGGAAATGCTTGACGCAGTTATTAAGCCACAAGGTCGCGTCCCTAACCGCTGCTCGATATGGTGGTGAGAATTCTTATTCGGCTCACGCCGCGGTGGCGAGATGTTTACTACCTCGCCTGCTGTGCTGGAGGTCGTGGGTGTTCGATCCCGACCCTGACGCCTGCGGTATATTTTTGGAGTCTGCATGCTCTCCTCGTGGTGGCGTGGATTTTTCTCCGGGTTCTCCGGTTTTGCCCCGAATTTTTTTTTTAATCAAAATGCGCTTAGAATATTTGGCTGCTATGAATTTCCAAGTGATAAACTACGTCGTTGAGCTATCATTTGTGATGGGCAGGTTGCTTCTAAAAATAGAGCTTCACAGTCGCACCTATTAAGGCCGGGACGACACACGGAGGGGTGGGTGGCTAGCACCACACCTGGCCGCCTTTGTCTCCACAGTAGCGATGGTTACACATCGCACCAGGCACTAATTTAAGGCTGAGTCCACCTAGGGAAGTCGCAAATAGTCATTAACATAATCGTCACTGGTGTTGATAGCCGTGAGCGGGGACTCGAATCCCTGGTCGCCAGGCTCGAAGAGCAGAGTGCTAACCATTGTGCCACCGCTCTCTCACAGATTATCTCTCATCCGTGCCATTCTTCTGTAGACACTTTTAAGAGGTCACTACACTAACAGGGCATCTCAATGCTCCAGTGGCGCAACCGGTTAGCGCGCGGTACTTATAAGGCAGTACTTGCCCTGGCTATGCCGAGGTTGTGAGTTCGAGCCTCACCTGGAGCAGAGATTTTTTTTATTCAATTGACCTCTCAGGAGCATCGGTGATGATGGAGGTGTGGAAACACGTGACATCACCCCCCCTCCCCCCCACACTCGCCACTTTAAATTTCAGATCGATCTGCGGTTTGATTTGCAGAATGCATGGTGGATGTATTGTCCAGTTCTTAACTTACCACGCAGGTTCTGACCTTCCAAAATTAAATTCTGGCTTCTCAGATCTTCCTGCAGATGCTTGACGCAGTTGTTAAGCCACAACGTCGCGTCCCTAACCGCTGCTCGATTTGATGGTGGGAATTATTATTCGGCTCTGCCGTGTTGGCGAGGTGATAGTGCTGGAGATCGTGGGTTCGATCCCGACCCTGACGCCTGCGGTATATTCGGAGTCTGCATGCTCTTCCCGTGGTGGCGTAGATTTTTCTCCGGATCCTCCGGGTTTGCCCTGCAAATTTAGAACCAACATGTGCTTAGAATATTTGGCTGCTATAAATTTCCACGTGATAAGCCACTTCGTTGAGCTATCATTTGTGATGGACAGGTCGCTTCGAAAAAAAAGCTTCACAGTCGCACCTATTAAGGCCGGGATAACACACGGACGGGTGGGTAGCTAGCACCACACCTGGCCGCCTTTATCTCTCCAATAGCGATGGTTACACATCGCACCAGGCACTAATTTGAGGCTGAGTCGACCTAGGACTCATTAACATAATCGTCACTGGTGTTGATAGCCGTGAGCGGGGACTCGAATCCCTGGTCGCCAAGCTCAAAGATCAGCGTGCTAACCATTGTGCCACCGCTCTCTTACAGATTATCTCTCATCCGTGCCATTCTTCTGTAGACACTTTTAAGAGGTCACTACACTCACAGGGCACCTCAATGCTCCAGTGGCGCAACCGGTTAGCGCGCGGTACTTATAAGGCAGTACTTGCCCTGGCTATGCCGAGGTTGTGAGTTCGAGCCTCACCTGGAGCAAAGGGCTTTTTTATTTAATTAACATCTAAGGGGCATCCGTAATTGTGGAGGTGTGGAAACACATAACATCACCCACCGCCCCCCCACACACACTCGCCACTTTAAATTTCAGATCGATCTGCGGTGAGATTTACAGAAAGCATGGTGGATGTGTAGAGGTGTTACGGCAGGGTGACAAGCGGTTGTAGGTCGGTGACCACAAACACGTCCGCTGAAGCCACCACCCTGGGGGGCCGTGGGGGACGCTGTGATCCCTCCCAGCCCCACCCCTCAGTGAGGGACTGTATAAAAGGTGGGACCCGAAGAGCTGAGAGGGAGTTCGACTCTCAAGCAAGATGAAGAGCCAGTGAAGAAAGAAGATCGACTAGCTAGACCCTGGAATTCCGTTGTCCCGCTGTCATTTTGAGGGCCGGGCAAAGCAAGCCAGGGGGTGCGACACCAGAGCCACGAGGCCCGATGTCCTTTTGAGGGCCCCACTCGTGTGGCTGGTGATCGGGACCTGCGCCCACGCTGTGCCAGGTCAGACAGCCTCCTGAGAGAGGACCAGGATAGAGGGAACCAGGGAGCTAGCGTGGGCTAAAGCTCGGGGAACGTTCCCTCTATAGAGTACGAGTGAAGAGGCCGTTACCTCTTCAAGTATCAGATTCGCCACTGTAATTGAAGCGTCTGTAATAAATACGTGTTGCTTCCAAAGAACAGTCTCCGACGTCAATAAGGCCACTACAAATGTATTGTCCAGTTCTTAACTTACCAAGCCGGTTCTGACTTTAAAAAAATAATTCTGGCTTCTCGGATCTTCCTGAAGATGCTTGACGCAGTTCTTAAACCACAACATCGCGTCCATAACTGCTGCTCGATATGGTGGTGAGAAGTCTTATTCGGCTCACGCCGCGGTGGCGAGATGTTTACTACCTCGCCTGCTGTGCTCGAGGTCATGGGTGTTCGATCCCGACCCTGACGCATGCAGTATATTCCGAGTCTGCATGCTCTCCCCGTGGTGGCGTGGATTTGTCTCCGGGTCCTCAGGGTTTGCCCTGCAAATTCAGAATCAAAATGCGCTTAGAATATTTGGCTGCTATTCATTTCCACGTGATAAGCCACTTCGTCAAGCTGTCATTTGTGATGGCCAGGTCGCTTCTCAAAATAGAGCTTCACAGTCACACCTATTAAGGCCGGGATGACACACGGAGGGGTGGGTGGCTAGCACCACACCTGGCCGCCTTTGTCTCCCCAATGACGATGGTTACACATCGCACCAGACACTCATTTGAGACGGAGTCCACCTAGGGAAGTCGCAAGGACTCATTAACATAATCGTCATTGGTGTTGATAGCCGTGAGCGGGGACTCGAATCCCTGGTCGCCAAGCTCAAAGATCAGCGTGCTAACCATTGTGCCACCGCTCTTTCACAGATTATCTCTCATCCGTGCCATTCTTCTGTAGACACTTTTAAGAGGTCACTACACTCACAGGGCATCTCAATGCTCCAGTGGCGCAACCGGTTAGCGCGCGGTACTTATAAGGCAGTACTTGCCCTGGCTATGCCGAGGTTGTGAGTTCGAGCCTCACCTGGAGCAAAGGGCTCTTTTATTTAATTAACATCTAAGGGGCATCCGTAATTGTGGAGGTGTGGAAAGACATGACATCATCCACCGCCCCCCCCACACACACTCGCCACTTTAAATTTGAGATCGATCTGCGGTGAGATTTGCAGAAAGCATGGTGGATGTGTAGAGGTGTTACGGCAGGGTGACACGCGGTTGTAGGTCGGTGGCCACAAACACGTCCGCTGAAGCCACCGCCCTGGGGGGCCGTGGGGGACGCTGTGATCCCTCCCAGCCCCACCCCTCAGTGAGGGACTGTATAAAAGGTGGGACCCGAAGAGCTGAGAGGGAGTTCGACTCTCAAGCAAGATGAAGAGCCAGTGAAGAAAGAAGATCGACTAGCTAGACCCTGGAATTCCGTTGTCCCGCTGTCATTTTGAGGGCCGGGCAAAGCAAGCCAGGGGGTGCGACACCAGAGCCACGAGGCCCGATGTCCTTTTGAGGGCCCCACTCGTGTGGCTGGTGATCGGGACCTGCGCCCACGCTGTGCCAGGTCAGACAGCCTCCTGAGAGAGGACCAGGATAGAGGGAACCAGGGAGCTAGCGTGGGCTAAAGCTCGGGGAACGTTCCCTCTATAGAGTACGAGTGAAGAGGCCGTTACCTCTTCAAGTATCAGATTCGCCACTGTAATTGAAGCGTCTGTAATAAATACGTGTTGCTTCCAAAGAACAGTCTCCGACGTCAATAAGGCCACTACAGATGTATTGTCCAGTTCTTAACTTACCACGCCGGTTCTGACTTTCAAAATTTCATTCGGGCTTCTCGGATCTTCCTGAAGATGCTTGACGCAGATCTTAAACCACAACATCGCGTCCATAACTGCTGCTCGATATGGTGGTGAGAATTAGGAGGTCGTTGGTTCGATCCCGACCCTGACGCCTGCGGTATATTCGGAGTCTGCATGCTCTCCCCTTGGTGGCGTGGATTTTTCACCGGGTCCTCCGGTTTTGCCCCGAAAATTTAGAATCAAAATGCGCTTAGAATATTTGGCTGCTATAAATTTCCAAGTGATAAACTACGTCGTTGAGCTGTCATTTGTGATGGCCAGGTCGCTTATAAAAATAGAGCTTCACAGTCGCACCTATTAAGGCCGGGACGACACACGGAGGGGTGGGTGGCTAGCACCACACCTGGCCGACTTTGTCTCCCCAATGGCGATGGTTACACATCGCACCAGGCACTCATTTGAGGCGGAGTCCACCTAGGGAAGTCGCAAGGACTCATTAACATAATTGTCACTGGTGTTGATAGCCGTGAGCGGGGACTCGAATCCCTGGTCGCCAGGCTCGAAGAGCAGCGTGCTAACCATTGTGCCACCGCTCTCTCACAGATTATCTCTCATCCGTGCCATTCTTCTGTAGACACTTTTAAGAGGTCACTACACTCACAGGGCATCTCAATGCTCCAGTGGCGCAACCGGTTAGCGCGCGGTACTTATAAGGCAGTACTTGCCCTGGCTATGCCGAGGTTGTGAGTTCGAGCCTCACCTGGAGCAGAGGTTTTTTAATTGTGGAGGTGTGGAAAGACATGACATCATCCACCGCCCCCCCCACACACACTCGCCACTTTAAATTTGAGATCGATCTGCGGTGAGATTTGCAGAAAGCATGGTGGATGTGTAGAGGTGTTACTGCAGGGTGACACGCGGTTGTAGGTCGGTGGCCACAAACACGTCCGCTGAAGCCACCACCCTGGGGGGCCGTGGGGGACGCTGTGATCCCTCCCAGCCCCACCCCTCAGTGAGGGACTGTATAAAAGGTGGGACCCGAAGAGCTGAGAGGGAGTTCGACTCTCAAGCAAGATGAAGAGCCAGTGAAGAAAGAAGATCGACTAGCTAGACCCTGGAATTCCGTTGTCCCGCTGTCATTTTGAGGGCCGGGCAAAGCAAGCCAGGGGGTGCGACACCAGAGCCACGAGGCCCGATGTCCTTTTGAGGGCCCCACTCGTGTGGCTGGTGATCGGGACCTGCGCCCACGCTGTGCCAGGTCAGACAGCCTCCTGAGAGAGGACCAGGATAGAGGGAACCAGGGAGCTAGCGTGGGCTAAAGCTCGGGGAACGTTCCCTCTATAGAGTACGAGTGAAGAGGCCGTTACCTCTTCAAGTATCAGATTCGCCACTGTAATTGAAGCGTCTGTAATAAATACGTGTTGCTTCCAAAGAACAGTCTCCGACGTCAATAAGGCCACTACAAATGTATTGTCCAGTTCTTAACTTACCAAGCCGGTTCTGACTTTAAAAAAATAATTCTGGCTTCTCGGATCTTCCTGAAGATGCTTGACGCAGTTCTTAAACCACAACATCGCGTCCATAACTGCTGCTCGATATGGTGGTGAGAAGTCTTATTCGGCTCACGCCGCGGTGGCGAGATGTTTACTACCTCGCCTGCTGTGCTCGAGGTCATGGGTGTTCGATCCCGACCCTGACGCATGCAGTATATTCCGAGTCTGCATGCTCTCCCCGTGGTGGCGTGGATTTGTCTCCGGGTCCTCAGGGTTTGCCCTGCAAATTCAGAATCAAAATGCGCTTAGAATATTTGGCTGCTATTCATTTCCACGTGATAAGCCACTTCGTCCAGCTGTCATTTGTTATGGCCAGGTCGCTTCTCAAAATAGAGCTTCACAGTCGCACCTATTAAGGCCGGGATGACACACGGAGGGGTGGGTGGCTAGCACCACACCTGTCCGCCTTTATCTCCCCAATGACGATGGTTACACATCCCACCAGACACTCATTTGAGGCGGAGTCCACCTAGGGAAGTCGCAAGGACTCATTAACATAATCGTCACTGGTGTTGATAGCCGTGAGCGGGAACTCGAATCCCTGGTCGCCAAACTCAAAGATCAGCGTGCTAACCATTGTGCCACCGCTCTCTCACAGATTATCTCTCATCCGTGCCATTCTTCTGTAGACACTTTTAAGAGGTCACTACACTCACAGGGCATCTCAATGCTCCAGTGGCGCAACCGGTTAGCGCGCGGTACTTATAAGGCAGTACTTGCCCTGGCTATGCCGAGGTTGTGAGTTCGAGCCTCACCTGGAGCAAAGGGCTTTTTTATTTAATTAACATCTAAGGGGCATCCGTAATTGTGGAGGTGTGGAAACACATGACATCACCCACCGCCCCCCCACACACACTCGCCACTTTAAATTTCAGATCGATCTGCGGTGAGATTTACAGAAAGCATGGTGGATGTGTAGAGGTGTTACGCAGGGTGACACGCGGTTGTAGGGCGGTGGCCACAAACACGTCCGCTTCGGCCACCAACCTGGGGGGCTGTGGGGGACGCTGTGATCCCTCCCAGCCCCACCCCTCAGTGAAGGACTGTATAAAAGTTGGGACCCGGAGAGCTGAGAGGCAGTTCGACTCAAGCAAGATGAAGAGCCAGTGAAGAAAGAAGATCAACTAGCTAGACCCTGGAACTCCGTTGTCCCGCTGTCCTTTTGAGTGCCGGGCAAAGCAAGCCAGGGTGCGACACCAGAGCCGCGAGGCCAGATATCCTTCTGAGGGCCGGACTCGTGTGGCTGGTGATCGGGACCTGCGCCCACGCTGGGCCAGGTCAGACAGCCTCCTGAGATAGGACCAGGATAGAGGGAACCAGAGGGCAGGCGTGGGCTAAAGCTCGGGGAACGTTCCCTCTATAGAGTACGGGTGAAGAGGCCGTTACCTCTTCAAGTATCAGATTCGCCACTGTAATCGAAGCGTCTGTAATAAATACGTGTTGCCTCCAAAGAACAGTCTCCGACGTCAATAAGGCCACTACAGATGTATTGTCCAGTTCTTAACTTACCACGCCGGTTCTGACTTTCAAAATTTCATTCGGGCTTCTCGGATCTTCCTGAAGATGCTTGACGCAGATCTTAAACCACAACATCGCGTCCATAACTGCTGCTCGATATGGTGGTGAGAATTAGGAGGTCGTTGGTTCGATCCCGACCCTGACGCCTGCGGTATATTCGGAGTCTGCATGCTCTCCCCTTGTTGGCGTGGATTTTTCACCGGGTCCTCCGGTTTTGCCCCGAAAATTTAGAATCAAAATGCGCTTAGAATATTTGGCTGCTATAAATTTCCAAGTGATAAACTACGTCGTTGAGCTGTCATTTGTGATGGCCAGGTCGCTTATAAAAATAGAGCTTCACAGTCGCACCTATTAAGGCCGGGACGACACACGGAGGGGTGGGTGGCTAGCACCACACCTGGCCGACTTTGTCTCCCCAATGGCGATGGTTACACATCGCACCAGGCACTCATTTGAGGCGGAGTCCACCTAGGGAAGTCGCAAGGACTCATTAACATAATTGTCACTGGTGTTGATAGCCGTGAGCGGGGACTCGAATCCCTGGTCGCCAGGCTCGAAGAGCAGCGTGCTAACCATTGTGCCACCGCTCTCTCACAGATTATCTCTCATCCGTGCCATTCTTCTGTAGACACTTTTAAGAGGTCACTACACTCACAGGGCATCTCAATGCTCCAGTGGCGCAACCGGTTAGCGCGCGGTACTTATAAGGCAGTACTTGCCCTGGCTATGCCGAGGTTGTGAGTTCGAGCCTCACGTGGAGCAGAGATTTTTTTAAATCTAATTAACATCTAAGGGGCATCCGTAATTGTGGAGGTGTGGAAACACGTGACATCACCCCCCTCCCCCCCCACACTCGCCACTTTAAATTTCAGATCGATCTGCGGTTTGATTTGCAGAATGCATGGTGGATGTATTGTCCAGTTCTTAACTTACCACGGAGGTTCTGACCTTCCAATATTAAATTCTGGCTTCTCAGATCTTCCTGCAGATGCTTGACGCAGGTATTAAGCCACAACGTCGCGTCCCTAACCGCAGCTCGATTTGATGGTGGGAATTATTATTCGGCTCTGCCGCGTTGGCGAGGTCATAGTGCTGGAGGTCGTGGGTGTTCGATCCCGACCCTGACGCCTGCGGTGTATTCGGAGTCTGCATGCTCTTCCCGTGGTGGCGTGGATTTTTCTCCGGGTCCTCTTGGTTCGCCCTGCAAATTTAGAACCAACATGCGCTTAGAATATTTGGCTGCTATACATTTCCACGTGATAAACCACTTCGTCCAGCTATCATTTGTGATGGCCAGGTCGCTTCTGAAAAGAGAGCTTCACAGTCGCACCTATTAAGGCCGGGACGACACACGGAAGGGTGGGTGGCGAGCACCACACCTGGCCGCCTTTGTCTCCCCAATGGCGATGGTTACACATCGCACCAGGCACTCATTTGAGGCTGAGTCCACCTAGGGAAGTCGCAAGGACTCATGAACATAATCGTCACTGGTGTTGATAGCCGTGAGCGGGGACTCGAATCTCTGGTCGCCAAGCTCGAATAGCAGCGTGCTAACCATTGTGCCACCGCTCTCTCACAGATTATCTCTCATCCGTGCCATTCTTCTGTAGACACTTTTAAGAGGTCACTACACTCACAGGGCATCTCAATGCTCCAGTGGCGCAACCGGTTAGCGCGCGGTACTTATAAGGCAGTACTTGTCATGGCTATGCCGAGGTTGTGAGTTCGAGCCTCACCTGGAGCAGAGATTTTTTTAATACATTGACCTCTCAGGAGCATCGGTGATGATGGAGGTGTGTGAATACATGACATCACCCCCCTCCCCACTCGCCTCTTTAAAAAATCAGATCAATTTGCGGTAAGATTTGGTGGTCGTATTGTCCAGTTCTTAACGTACCGCGTCGGTTCTGACTTTAAGGATTTAATTCAGGCTTCTCGGATCTTCCTGCAGATGCTTGACGCAGTTGTTAAGCCACAACGTCGCGTCAACTAACCATAGGTGGTGAGAATTGTTACAATCATGAATCATCATAATTATTACATGAATAAATAAGTGCGTTCAATGCTTCGACACCACGTGACAATTTACGACGTTTCGCTGCAACAAAAATAATTTGGCCAGATCATTTCTACATTTCGCCGGACCCGAAAAATAAATGACGAATAATTTTCCATTGCTTTGCACAGAACTCACAGTGCCACCCGCCCACCCACACGTATCGTGGCGCCCGCGCGTGCACAGCTGTGAAAATGAAACGAGATTCACCCGCGACGCAATTCGCTTGCGCAGCCGCTCGCTCGGTTGTGGACAAGGCGGTTCCGAGGGCCGTTCTGGTTTTTGCGAAACTCATCCCTCGAGGTGTCGATGCGACTTTGAGACGATGACACCGAAGCCAAAATATAGCCGTGGCAACCGCTGAAAGGGCCCACGTCTCATTATCTACTTCCTACAGTAGGTGGCAGCATTGTCCAACAGTGGCTCACTGATTCGAAGCTCCTCAAGTTTTACTTCATAATTACCGTGGTCCATCTGCCATAATCTATCCACTGTTGCATACACTATGATGCCTCCAACTCGATTTTGTTCTCTGATCCACGTGTTCCTCATTACTTTTTTTTACCAGCTAAGGCCCCACTGAGCTAAATAGATAGGTGTTTTTCAGTAGCGACTTGGCCAAAAATGATATCTCAACGAAGTGTCTTATATCACGTGGAAATGTATAGCAGCCAAATACTCTTAACGGGTGATGTTGATTCTAAATGTGGAGGGAAAAAACCCGCGGACCTGGAGAAAGATCCACGCGATCACGGGCAGAGCATGCAAACTCCAAATACACGGTCAGGCGTCAGGGTCGGGATCTAACACACGACCTCCTGCATACCAGGCGAGGTAGCTAACATCATCTATCCACCATGGCGCCTCTTTCTGCACCCTATTCACCTACCTACCTCTCCACGCTTCTCTGTGCACTTTATTTTTTAAATGTTGTGTTCCAATATTCTATGTCGGGCGATGCCCGTTGACGTTTCTGATCCCACGTTGTCATTGCCCGAGGTAGCAGTTACACCCATCGCTCCCATCTCTTATTGGTGCTCCGTTTAGGCCACGTTGCTGCCTTGCTTTTGAATTACAACGCTCAGCTTTCCATAAAGCATTCCAAACCTCCCCCCTCCCCTTTCCTTCGACTCCATCCTTTCTGACCCCCGGGTTGTCGGGCTGTAATAGTTTGCCCTGGGTATCTGCACTCACAAGTGCGAGTGGTGGGAGAGCGAAGTGAGTGTGACAGAGAGGGGTGGAGAGCGAGGTGAGTGAGCGAGAGATAGGAGAGCGAGGTGAGTGAGAGAGCGGGGGGAGAGCGAGGTGAGTGAGAGAGAGAGGGAGGGGACAGCGAGGTGAGTGTGAGAGTGAGGGGAGAGCGAGGTGAGTGTGAGAGAGGTGAGAGGGGAGAGCGAGGTGAGTGAGAGAGAGGGGGGGCAGCGAGGTGAGTGAGAGAAGGGGGGGGGGGAGCGAGGTGAGTGAGAGAGAGAGGGGAGAGCGAGGTGAGTGTGAGAGAGAGGGAACAGCGAGGTGAGTGAGAGAGAGGGGACAGCGAGGTGAGTGAGAGAGAGGGGAGAGCGAGGTGAGTGAGAGAGAGAGAGGGGAGAGCGAGGTGAGTGAGAGAGAGAGGGGACAGCGAGGTGAGTGAGAGTGGGGGGGGGGGGAGCGAGGTGAGTGAGAGAGAGAGGGGACAGCGAGGTGAGTGTGAGAGAGAGAGAGGGGAGAGCGAGGTGAGTGAGAGAGAGAGAGGGGAGAGCGAGGTGAGTGAGAGAGAGAGGGGAGAGCGAGGTGAGTGAGAGAGAGAGGGGAGAGCGAGGTGAGTGAGAGAGAGGGGAGAGCGAGGTGAGTGAGAGAGAGAGGGGAGAGCGAGGTGAGTGAGAGAGAGAGGGAGGGGACAGCGAGGTGAGTGTGAGAGTGAGGGGAGAGCGAGGTGAGTGTGAGAGAGGTGAGAGGGGAGAGCGAGGTGAGTGAGAGAGAGGGGGGGCAGCGAGGTGAGTGAGAGAAGGGGGGGGGGGAGCGAGGTGAGTGAGAGAGAGAGGGGAGAGCGAGGTGAGTGTGAGAGAGAGGGAACAGCGAGGTGAGTGAGAGAGAGGGGACAGCGAGGTGAGTGAGAGAGAGGGGAGAGCGAGGTGAGTGAGAGAGAGAGAGGGGAGAGCGAGGTGAGTGAGAGAGAGAGGGGACAGCGAGGTGAGTGAGAGTGGGGGGGGGAGCGAGGTGAGTGAGGGAGAGAGGGGACAGCGAGGTGAGTGTGAGAGAGAGAGAGGGGAGAGCGAGGTGAGTGAGAGAGAGAGAGGGGAGAGCGAGGTGAGTGAGAGAGAGAGGGGAGAGCGAGGTGAGTGAGAGAGAGAGGGGAGAGCGAGGTGAGTGAGAGAGAGGGGAGAGCGAGGTGAGTGAGAGAGAGAGAGAGGGGAGAGCGAGGTGAGTGAGAGAGAGAGGGGAGAGCGAGGTGAGTGTGAGAGAGAGAGAGGGGAGAGCGAGGTGAGTGAGATAGAAGGGAGAGCGAGGTGAGTGAGAGAGAGAGAGAGAGGGGAGGGCGAGGTGAGTGAGAGAGAGAGGGGAGAGCGAGGTGAGTGAGAGAGAGGGGAGAGCGAGGTGAGTGAGAGAGAGAGAGAGGGGAGGGCGAGGTTAGTGAGAGAGAGAGGGGAGAGCGAGGTGAGTGAGAGAGAGGGGAGAGCGAGGTGAGTGAGAGAGAGGGGAGAGCGAGGTGAGTGAGAGAGAGGGGAGAGCGAGGTGAGTGTGAGAGGGGGGGTGGAGAGCGAGGTGAGTGAGAGGGGGGGGGCGAGGTGAGTGAGAGGGGGGGGGCGAGGTGAGTGTGAGAGACGAGGGGGAGGGCGAAACAGCAGCAGCCGTTCGCCACTGAGTGTCGGTGACGTCACCACAGCGCTTGTGCCAGGCTAGGTGCACTTTGAGGCCGCGTGAAGTGTCGAAGGCTCACTGCTGACAGGAGGTCACAGAGTTAGACCCAGGTGCCATGGGTTGATTGACTGAGATGTCTGGGCAGATGTTCGCTACCTGTGCTCCCCGCTGCGCAAACTTGCTGCGTTTTAGCCACCCGGCGCTCCGCTTCGCTGTTGTGAGCGTCGCTCCTCTGCTCTGCGTTGTTGCCGGAAGGCGACTGCCTCCAATTGGCCAGCAGCAGCAGCAGCGTCCTGCGTGTGCCTGCTTCCACAGAGGCCGACATTGACACCGCTGATAGGTAGCGAGTTATCGATACGTCCACCCAACTCCACATCCTGTTGTACCGCATCAGCCCATCCTCCTCCCCAGCCCGTGCCCTGCCCATGTGAGCGCCTTCTGTCCATCAATGCCACGTGTTGACAGTCGCTCATGCCGCACTGCCGTTTGCCGACTGGAGGAGAGAACTAGAAATTGAGTTACGGTCACTTGGCTGTGAGTGACGGCTGGTAATGTAGGCAATTAAAATATTAATAATACAATAGAAATTCGAGTCTTGCAGAGTATTTCAATATCAGGTGTATCAATCCACCGCATGGCCGATGTTGGCCATGGGGGGTTGTTTGACCATACTTCACCACGCTGGTCAGTGCGGATTACTGGTGAAGTGGCGGTAGGTAGAGTGGGATTTGGAAGGGCGGGGGGGGGGGTGCCCCCTGCACAGATTCATATATCCTTCGCCACTGGCTGTTATGATAGCCGTGGCGGCCTGGTATCGAACTCAGGTAACAAGGGTTCCAAGCGCCACTGCTGAAATAAAGACAAAGATCCCCCGTATAGACTTAACAGACTGTAGGGGCAAGTGCTGTTAGCGAGCACACATCGCACCAGGTACTCATTTGAGGCTGAGTCGACCAGGGGAGGCCCGGGACCGGTTCAGACAATCGTCACTGACTGTTGGCCGTGAGCGAGAATCGAACCCGGGTCGCCAGGATCATAGCGCAGCGTAGCGCGGTTTCCGCTACACTACCGCTCCCCGAAACACACGCGCGCACGCATGCACCCACAGTAAAAAGGGGGCTGGGGGGGCTGGTTTATTGGCCCTTTGTTATTTTGGCATTATATTGTGGAATATTCTGGAGGGCTCCAGTTTCCCGTCATATTTATTGTCCTGGCTGCACTGCAAGTGGAACGGCCTTGAAACGTTACGCTCAACTTGCGACTGAAACCGCTTCTCTAACAGCAGCGGCAATATAACACTAATAAGGACGATGATGACATTATCGCGATGAATAATACGACGGCTAATGATGACGACGACCGCCGCGTGTCCAGCTGTTATCCCGGATTACCCCTCGTGAACTTAGACAGAGGTTAACGTTGGCACCGTTTGCGTTAGCCTGGGCAGACAAATGCGCGTACGCATTGGCGCTCGCTAACAGCACTTGCCCCAACAGACGAGCGCACGTGCGTACAGGCGCACAAACAGGACGCAGATTGCCCCACGAATAGCCTGAACAGAATTAATCGGAAGAAACCCCCGACACACAAAACAAGACAAAGGTCCCCCGTATAGCCTTAACAGAATGTTGGGGCAAGTGCTGTGAGCGAGTAGCACCTATGCAGGCCGGCACTGCGGTCACGCGAGGGGGGCGGGTGGTCAACACCACGCCCGGCCTCCTTTCTCTTCCCCGTGGCGATGTTTGCACACCGCACCAGGTGCTCATTGGACGCAGAGTTAGATGGACATGTACTCTACGTACGCACGCACGAAAGATCACCCGTATAGCCTCAACATACTTGTTTTTTGGCCAAGGGCTTTTAGCGAGCACCTACGAAAGGCCAGTGGGAGGTGGGGGTATTTGCCTCCCCACCGCTGATATTTTATTTGTTTTACACCCAGTAACCAAGTACTCAGTGAGCGCCGACTCGGTATAAAGGTGGCCTGGAGCCGGTTCGGATATTCGGCGTGATCCGAAAAAATCGAACTCAGATGGTCGGGGTTTCGTGGCGCAGCGCGCTAACCGCTGCGCCACCGCTCGCACGGGGGCAAATCGTGCAGCTGCGCTGCCGCACTCCCCCGACTGCTGACGGGAAGCGGCGTTACTCCGGTAACCCTGGAGGAAGCGGTTCCCCTTCTCTATCTCACACTCACCTCGCTCTCCTCTCTCTCACTCACCTCGCTCTCCCGACTCTCTCTCACACACTCGCCTCGCTAGCCCCCCCCCCCTCTCTCTCATAAAAATACAAAGATTCTTAACAGACTGCTGGTGCAAGTGCCGTTAGCGAGCACCTATGGTGGCCGGAGCGACACACGAGGTGGTGGGTGGCCAGCACCACGCCCGGCCGCCTATATGTCTACCTAGTGGCGATGTTTACACACCGCACCAGGTACTCATTTGAGGCTGAGTCGACCTAGAGGAGGCCCAGGACCGGTTCAGAGAATCGTCACTGAGTATTAGCCGTGAGCGAGAATCGAACCCGGGTCGCCAGGTTCATAGCGCAGCGTAGCGCGGTTACCTCTACACTACCGCCCGAGGTTTCGCAGCGCGGTGCGCCCACCGCTGCGCCATCGCTCCTCGCACGCACCCAGACACCGGCACCCCGCTGTGAACCCCTGAGGCCCCACCGCCCTCCTCGTTCCTGTGGCTACCTGTGGCTCCCTGCGGCGGCTGCTGCTGCTGGGAGGGCATTCCGCGTTTCCCCGCCACCCCTTGGGGAAAGAGGCGCGCCCCTTCCTCGCAGCAGCAGCGGCGGCGGCGAGGAGGAACACGCGCGCCTGTTGCGCAACGCGAGGGAGGAAGGAAGACTGGGGGAGAGTGGTCGAGATAGGGCGAGCGTGGGAGAGTTGGCGAGTGGGGGAGATAGTGGCGAGAGGGAGAAGAGAGGGAGAGTCGGAGAGCCTGACAGAGAGTGGGGAAAAAAGAGAGGGGGGGGGAGGTTAGATGGAGGGGTAGAGAGAGAGAGAGGGAAGGGGTAAAAAGGGGGGGAGGGTACATAAAGCAAAGCATTGAAAAAAACCGAAATGATGAACGAAGCAAAGTGCCGACTACACCGAGCATCTTCTTGTTTCCTCTGATCGTAAAAAGAGAGAGAGTGGGAGAGAGTGAGAGAGTAGGAAAGTAGGAGAGACGAGGGGGGGGGAGATGTATGCACCGTGGACAGTGTTTCTCTTTACAAGAAGACGAGCGAGCTCTCTCTGGGTTGGGTGGGAATGCGCTGCCACGCGCTGTGCAGAACGCGGGACTCTGGTGCACGACTCGGTGAACGAACCAATGCACGAACGACTCGGCGAACGAATCCACGAGGGACTCAGTGAATGAACGAATTCACGAATTAAGTGGTCATGTGAATTCAGCCCCCACCTCCCGCCCCTGCTTCTCGGCGTGGTACAGAGAATGACTGCCACCGAGTCCAGATTCTGCATTTCATCTCCGATATTAGACGCGATGAGGTGCTGGGATTCAACGAGGTATCATTAAATACTCTAAAAGCATGTTTCTAAACGTGGGTGGAAAAACCGGAGGACCTGGAGAAAAACTCACGCGACCACAGCGAGAGAGAGAGAGAGACACGCAAACCACAAAAATACAGCAGGCGTCAGCGTTGGGATTGAACCCACGAACCTCCTGAACACAAGGCGAGGGAGATAACATCTCGCCCAGGCGGACGACGTACTCCCTTTGCCGTGAGGGTCGTGGGGCTGTGGGTTGCTTGACCATACTTCACCAAGTTGGGCGGGGGTGCGATGTCGGTTCAGATGTACTGTAGCTCTCAACGGATGTTGACCATGGACGGGAATCAAACTCAGGCTGCTGCCGGATTTAGGCCACACCGCACTAACCGTTACACGTCCCAGTCATTAACGCTGCCGTGCGACGTGAGGATACACCGCAGTAGGCTGACGTTTCGGTCAATGGCTCCTTCTTCAGAAACAGGGAGAGTGAGTCATTCACTCACTTGTCGCCGGCTGGAGATTGCACTTTAGACTCCGGTGTCCTGGTAACACTGGACATTGTGGATGAAAACAATTGCAATAAAGAGACGTTGGGAAAGTTGACAATCTTAATCAGCGGCATCCATCGAATTCACGTTCGCGCCACGTTCTCACCACTGCTGGATTGAAACAACTCAGTGCGCTCAGAGGCTGCGTCACGTGCAGACCGCATGGGGGAGAGGCTACAATTGCCCGCGTCTGTGTCGTGTCTCAGTTGATCTGTGTATTTATTTATCTATTGCCCCATGGCCGTGCGAAGCGTCGAGCAGCTGCCACGAATCGCAGCCGCCGCCGCGTCTAGAAGCCACTTGACAGTTTCATCGCTCCGAGAGCAGTGGATGGAGAATGGGCAGAAAAGACGTGGACTGCAGATGGCCCCTTATCAGTGAGCGTCACCTCCAGCCCCCAACCACCACCACCACCCAGCCCTCCCCCCAGCTGCGACGAGCGGGTGAGCAGGGCTGCGATGGTGTTGGCGTGAGACGACGCGAGATTGCACAGACCTCGTCGAGTCACAACTCAAACCCCAGCGCAGACCCAGCCGTAACTCAAGCGCTGGGCCCCGGCCATAACCCTGGACAGAACTCGAACATTAGCCCTGGACCGCGCCCTCCGTAGCCAAGGCGTGCTCATCGGCGGTGCCGTTCTGTGCTTTCCCCTAGCGCCTCCCTGCGAAACTTACACGCGTTACAGATTCTACGGCGACGTTGAGACGTAGTTTGCACGAATAACGCACATTTAAGCAAATAAAACATTGTTATTGACTAATCGGTGGAGTGTATTCCCTTCAGAGGGTCCCACTTTGCAAGTTGGCAGGATTGAACAATTGAAGTAAAAGTAAATGCACAATAGATCAAATAGATTAAAAAAAAATAGAAAACGCAGTCACTGCTTACTTAAGAGGCTGCCAGAGGGTCAGAGGGAGATTTGCCCTTTGAACTATGCCAGCCCAATGATGTAATCCCTCTTGAAATCGTCATGGGACTGACTCGGCGCCGAACACTTAAACAAAAAAGTGTGGTCTTTTATTCCACCAAAAATGTCACCCCCATTGTGCTGTCGGCATCATTAAAAAAATATATACATAAAACATTTTACTTGGGTAATCCCTTTAGATAGAACATCTCGTTTGCAATGGTGTCCAGAGAGAATCTAATAATAATGATTAGATTTATATGCACAATTGATTTCAGGGATCTCAGTGCGCCTTGCAAGAAGTTAGGAAATAGAAATTCTACCAGGTAGTCTGGAGTCCACTGATCATACATGGTGTAGGCCTGCAGGGGGACCAGACTGAGTCTTTAGAGAAGACGTGAACACAGAGCGAGTGACCTCGCCTGTCGAGTCACTGCTGGCAGCAGCAGTGCACGCACA